ACTGACATTTTAGGAAATAGTTTTGGAGTGAGGGGTGAGTGAACTGTCCAAATGTCTCCTGTGGGTCAGATTGTTTGCAAACTTTACTCCCCCCCCCCCATGGAGGCATAAATGGCTTATTTTATGATCTAAATTGAAGGTATGGAGAAGCTTTCAGAGAAGTGAATATGGAGGTGGATAATGAATGGCATCCAATGCTTTAAATGTTCTGGAGAAAATCTTGATTTGTCTATAAATCTGTATAGACTAGAGGATTCTGTGATGTCTGATGTATTTGGAGGTTGTTTAGTGACAAGCCTTTTTTTTTTAAATATATAAAGTTGTATTATACTTACAAAACATCTTGTGCATAACGAGCCCCTTTGGGGAGGGGAAGACATGCAGCACAGATTCCAAGCCTCTCTTTTTATTGAGTCCAGTTCTGCTATGTGATACTGCTCTCTGCATGAGTGGGGCTCTTCAGTTCCTGCCTGCCAATGAGTGGAATCACAGGTGTACTGTCTGTGAAGCAGAACTGTAATCTCTCAGTGCACACAACAGGGCTTTCATGGTAAAGTTCCCATTCTTGCCGGATGCTGAACACCTCTGAGTGACTTCAGTGATGGTTGACGAGGCTCAGCATCTGGCAGGATTAGGCATTAAGTAATGGAATGACAGGGCAGACCCAGTGAATGCTGTGAATCCTAGAACTGGCTGATGTAGGGCAGAAGTAAAACGTAGAGAACCCTGTTTTTAAATGTGGGCAAAACAATAGCTGACCCCTTCTCCCTGTGTCAGGCCTTCCTCGTTGATTATTGTGGGCAGAAGCCCACCACTCTTCTGAAAGGAAGCATCTTGAAGACTTGCCTGGCTGTAGTGAATTCATTATCTTCCATGCTCCTTGAACACACAATTTCCTGTCTTTTGTTGCTGCCCAAAGCCTACACCTATATTCATTTTAAAATGAATAATCTCACTGGCTAATGAGAACTGCATATTCATACCACTCACACTGAGTTAGAGGCGTGAGGTTCTAGACATACATTTCTCTGTGCCAAAATAGCCTGTTTTGCTTTTTATTGTTCAAATCTGATAACATCTCTAGACCTGAAATCTGGGTAAATGTAAACTGCAAAAAGCAATTGAGTTAAGCGCTGGTTTATATGCCTAATATCCCTGTACTCATTGTTCCTAATTTCCTGTTCTCCTGGTGTAACTCCCTTGTCTAGGGTGCTTATGCAGCTGCCTTTGCTGTAGTATCTAGGCACCATGTGATCAGTAATGTAGTTATCCTCACAATGCCCCTGTGGGGTATGGACAAGTTCTATTACCCCCATTTTACAAATGGATAAGTGATGCACAGAGACTGAATGACTAGCTCAGGGTCACACCAGGAGCATGTGGTGGAGTAGGGAATTGAATCTGGGTCTCCCAAGTCCTAGATTAGTTCTCTAACCACTGAACATTTTTCCTTGGTTTGTCAAAGCTGTATTCTCACCTACCCCCACCCCCCTTTCTTCTTTTTCTCACTGAAGAGATTCCAGAACACATCACACTACTAAATGTCTCCTTGCACCCAGATGCATTTGGGATGCATTCTAGGACCACGTCAGTGAAATAGGAAGTCCTGTGGGATTTCACAGGAAAGGGGAAGAATAAAATGTAAGAGGTTAATTCTTTCTGTGGCCTGGTCTACATTTAAAATTTAGGTTGACATATCTGTGGCACTCAGGTGAAAAATCAACACCCATGAACGCCATACTTATGCCCACCTAACCTCCAGTGTAGACACAGCTAAGTCAAGGGAAAAATGCTTCCATCAACCTAGCTACCATCGGTCGGGAATGTTGTGTTCCTGCAGTGGCCAAAAAACCCCTTCTGTTGCTGTAGGCTGTGTCTACATTACAGGGTTATGCTGGCAGAGGTAGAGTGCCATAGCTATGCTGCTATAGTCCCCATAGTGTAGATGTGACCTGTGCTTAATTTCACACCCCACAAATACTGTTAATGAAGATGTCTGGATTTAAATCAGTTGCCATTTTCCTTTAAAAGTTGGCTTGTCAATTTTTTCAATGAACAGCAAGAACATTATTTTCAACCTATTTTGGTAAATTAATCTGATTTCTGTATGTCTTTTCCATATCATCAGAAAATAAATATGGAAAACACCTAGTGGGTGTTGATTCCATCCTCTGCAGCTGGACATGTAGGAGTGTTTTTTCTGGAAAACTTCTCCTGAATTTTTCACAAACCAGTGAGCAAGCTGCAAGAATAAATGCAAATGTTCAAACGTATTTTCAGGGCTCGAAAAACACTTTCTTCACCTGGGTGTATGTAAAGCTTTTTTTTGGCAATGAGGAAGGGCCTTAACAATCAATCTCTGCAGAATGTGAGCATTAATTTTAATTAATATTTTCTCGCTCTTATCCTTATGAAGACAATCTTCCAAGCATAGATCAATCCTGTGTTGTCTTTGAGTCTACAGACAGCTCCAGTTCCCTCTGAGCTTCCCCAGGCAGAAGAGAGTGAAGTTGACAAGACTGGTCAGTTTCAGTGTTGTTCAAAACCTTAGGATCAGCCTTGAAGTTGGTAGTTTCATGGTGCTCCCTCAGAGCAGTAACAGAAGCAGGCACTGGTCCTATTCATAGGAGAGCTGATTGAAGGAAGTGAGGTGTGGGCTGAAGTAGTTAATAACCCCCAATACACTTGCTTTTCCAACAACTCGATGGAAGATATTTAGTGTCCTTGTGATTGGCACTGTTTCCAGTTGTTACCATGAGATTACTTTGTATTTATCACAGATTTTTTGATAGCAATTCAGTAACTAGCTTGTGTCACTGCTTTCCTATCTGTGTATACTGGATGATGATCAGTAGGTCTACTGTGTATTCCCATTGCACAAACAAGTGTCTAATGCATGGCACATTAATCAGTTGAAAACCAGGTGAGCTAAACAGAAGGCTTGGTGTCACTCTTGCAAGTGAATTTTAATCTTTTGCGTTCCAGGGTACAGGCTTTGGAGAGAATTGTCACTAGATCTATTTATAGCTCCAAGAATCTTTTACTTTAATTTTTTACCTTTATTTCCTAGAACATGGTGATGAGTTTCAGAGTCTCAGATCTTCAGATGTTACTGGGCTTTGTTGGCCGGAGTAAGAGTGGACTTAAACACGAGCTGGTCACTAGAGCGTTGCAGCTGGTCCAGTTTGATTGTAGCCCTGAAGTTTTCAAGAAAATTAAAGAGCTCTATGAGACTCGCTATGCCAAGAAGAACTCTGAACCGGGGCAGCCACAGCAGCACCGACCTCCAGAGGCACTCTCCATACATTCTTCCTATGACCGTGGGAGCACTGTTGCTAGGACTTCTCTTTCCACGCCTAACATTGACTATCCTGCACTCTATGGGAAATACCTTAACGGACTGGGGAGGTTACCACCCAAAGTTGTAAAGCCTGAAGTTCGGCTGGTGAAACTTCCCTTCTATACCACCTTGGATGAACTGCTGAAGCCAACAGAGCTAGGTGAGTCTCTCTCCTGTGCAAATACAATACTAATGCCCAGAACGCCGTCTGGGAAAGGACGGTGAAAAAGCATGCACGTTTTGAAATGATGGCAGCATTTTTGGTGAGCAGTGAGGCCACGTGAGGGAGAAAACCAATGGGTTCTCTCTTAGTTGGTGTCTATTTATTCAGAATAGTCCTAGATTAATTTTTGTTGCTTTTTTTTAACCTTTCTTAAAGCAGGAGCTGCAGTCACTTATCAAAGTGACTTGAAAGCCAGTCTTGTTTTGCTGTAGCTTTTGTATCCTTCACTGAAAGTGCTGCCTTTTTAACATATTGCATCCTTGTGTACTGAATCCTAATCTGTTCTTGCTCCAGCTAATGTAGCAGTATATTAGGGGAGCAGCTGTTTTCTCCGTCATTGTCACAACTCTGCTAAACTGGAACAATGGCCCTTTCTATGCTGCTACCAGTTAGTTCTATACTTTATCATGGCAGACTTCAAGCTTCCCACAAATAAAGAAAGATGACTTATTATTGTAATACACACACACACACACACACACACACACACACATTCTTCTTACTTTTATAAACCTGTCATGCAGTTCTTTATGCACCATACCTTGTGGTTTGAGGCGCTTGGAAGATGAAAGAAGCAGCTCCTTCCACTTTGGAGCCATGATAACCAGAGTCTGGGTTAGCGTTGTTGTGGTTCTAGGTAGTGACGAGCGTTGCCGTAACTGGCTGTAACGTGTTTTTTGTGTATGGCGTAGGCAAAATGGGCCTTTTTGCTATGGTTGTGGCTCCCTTTGCTTTGTGACCCATCAAACTACACCCCTCTTCAATGGCCCATAGAGTAAACATGGTAGCCTCAGGCCTCGTTACAAAATGGACCTTGTTCTGAGCAAAATAAAGATGGAACTTGAGGATCTCCCATTGCTGGAAAGGCTTGGTCCTACTGTGCAGAGATGAAAGCAGTGTTGATAAATGAAAGTAGTGATATTTTACCAAGATGCAGCTAGATGAACTGCTGCAGTGTCTGCGTGGAGTGGAAAACTGAAGGCATGTGGGAAGCAGCCATTGCTGAATGGCCTCACTAGGCAGAAGTGTGGATTTGTTTCTCTAATGTGGACATAAAAGGCGCTTTCTTTAACCATGTTACGTGGCTCTGAGAAACCTGGCAGAACACAAATCAGATAATACTTAAACTGTCCTCTTTAATTCAAGAGAACATAAATTTTTAGGAACAGGAAACAGCCATCTGGCCCTATGTGCCTGCACTTTCATAATTTCTTAATCCCATCTTCCTGCTTTTTTCATCATAACCCTTCACTCCCTTCCGCCTTCACAAACTAGGCTGGGTATCCCTTGAGGTTATTTATATCCTCTGTTTCAGTTGCCTTCCCTGTTAACTTATTCCATATGTTTATTACTCCTTGTGGAGTTTCCCTGTTTACTCTTATTTTCCATATTTCTTAGCTTCTGGACTACTTACCAGTATAAAAAGAAAACTGTATTGACTATATTATACAGGCTTCAGATGTACGTGATTTGTCTGCATAAGAAGGCAGTACAGACATTAAGGCTGTGATGACTTAAACAGAGTTTTAGAAATTGTTCCCTGGGCATGTTTGACAAATTTTCTGTTTTGATAGGTGTAATTTGTGCTTCATCTGTGGAACTTGGTGTAGGGCAACTAGGTGTGGAACAGATGCTCTTTTCAATCCTGATTTATCACTCCGAATCCACACTAAAATATAGAGTATTTACATTTCTACTTCATCTTTCCAACTCTGGAGGTCCGGCATTGGTGGTGGTGAGGAGTACAATTGCTGAGTATCATTAATGGGGAGCAAACCCAGTATATGATCCCTGGCTGCTTCAACATGGCGGAATGTCTATGATGTACTCTTTCATACTGGAAATGAGACTAGCAGGCATCTCTACTGAGATCTGGTTCTGGACTCCTGCTCTCCTAGCATTAAACATCACCTCTGCTAATGTTATCTCAGTGGCTAACTTTTGTACTTGGCTCAGTAAGATTCCGGTTATCTTAACCCAAGAAAAATGCTCATCGCTGTGCTAGTGAACTGTACTCACAAATACACACTAATAGTTTGTGTTTTGGAAACTGACATGTTGACAATTTAACTCCAAGAGTATTAAGTTAAGAATACCAAAGCAAAGTTAGATGTCTATGGAGTTCTACTTGATGAGACCGAAAAAAGAATAAAGAAGAATAAAGGCTTATCAGTTGCTTTGGTTTACTGTACCATCTTAACTTTTACACCTTTTGTTAAAGCAGTGTGTAGACTAATCCTGAGAGCTATTCTGTAGAAAATTCAAATGCTACTGGTGCTTTGCCATAGAAATATCTGAGACAGATCTGAGATTAAAGACCCATTTCACATGGACATCATAATGTGCCCTGGGTAAATGTCCTGCTACAGAAGACATTTTAAGCATATGTACTGTGATGAGGGAAACCAGGGAATTGTAACTTGTGTATTTCCCTGATTTTAAATGGAAGGATCTTTGTTAATCAAAAGCTAATATGTGCTGAAAACAAGCCTCCTTGAAATTATCACATTGAGATCAAAAGGTGGGCTATATTTAACTTGATCTCTACCATTGTTGTATGCAGTGGTGTAGCCGTTTGGGTCCCAGGGTATTAGAGAGACAAGGTGGGTGAGGTAGTATCTTTTATTGGGCCAACTTCTGTTGGTTAGAGACAAGCTTTTGAGCTTACACAGAGCTCTTCTGACCTGAAGAAGAGCTCTGTGTAAGCTCGAAAGCTTGTCTCTCGCTAACAGAAGTTAAAAGCTATTACATCACCCACCTTGTGTCTCTAGACAGACATGCTTTTCTCTGCAGGAGAGTGTCAGATTACTATGCTTGCAGACAAAGATACAGCTTCAGGTGTTAGGGCAAGGAGACTTGAAGTGTTTTGTGCACCAGGTAACATTCCATATTTGGTAACTACATAAACATACAAGTTATACCAATTCAGTTTAGTAATGGATTGAATTAAATCCACACAACTTCCTTGTGTGAACACTTCTCAGTTGGTTTAAGATTGTCCATGCAAGGTAGTTGTGCTGGTTTAGTTGAAGCGGTACGGCTTTTGTGTGTAGACAAGGCCTAAAACTTGGTGGTATTTGCTGACAGGATGTTTTTGTAGATTTCTCTAGCCATACTGTGGCTTTCAGTAAATGCCTTGGTTTTTATCAAAGATGAACATGGTTTGGTAATAGTGAAATGTGGTGTGGTAGGGAATTTTGGCTGGTTTTCCCGAGGGGAGAGAAGGTGTGACAGCCAGGGCCACCAAGAGCGGGTTCGGGCCCCGGTGAAAATTTTTTTTCGGGCCCCCCAGCAAGGGCAGACCGGCTAAACAGGGCTGGGGAAGCCGGGCCCCGGTAATTTGTACCAGCTTCTCCCGTTCTCCCTTCTCCTCCCCCCGTTGGCCCTGGTGACAGCCTGCATGCTTATTGTGGATGCAGAGTGCTGTGGTCTTTGCTTGGAGGCAGTGCCTGAGGAGGATCTGCTGGTGTCATTGTGGGAACAGAGGGCTACATAATCTGTGTGTTCCAGCCACTGTCAGCATAAACTATATCTGTTTGCTTGATACCTTTTGATGGTATCTACTTGGCAATTTGTATGCTGCTTTTTATCTAGCCGTGAGTAATAAAATTGACAGTATTATTTCCTCCCCTGTTGAAGATCAAGCTCAGTTCCTGTGTCTATTCAGTCTGTCTTGGGGTATGTCTACGCTGCAATTAAAAACCTGCGGCTCAGGCTGGCGTGTCTCAGTCTAACGGGCTGTTTAATTGCAGTGTAGATGTTCAAGCTCAGGCTGGAGCCTGAGCTCCATCACCCTGAGCTCGGACTCCAGCCTGAGCCTGAAATGTAACAAACCACTTAGCCGGAGCTCGGCGAGCCTGAGTCGGCTGGCTCAGGCCTGCCACTGGTGTCTAATTGCAGGTATCTGTGCTGGCTGAGGCAACTGCATTCTCTTGATTGCAAAACACACATCCCTGCATTGGACATCCTCTGAGAAATCCTCCCAAGAGCATATTTTCAAGCCATTGGTTCAGTTCTCTCTCTGGGCTAGTTCTCCGAGGTGAACAAATTGGAGGATTTATTGATTCACTTGGAGTTAGAATAAAAAGCGCCCATCCATATTCCCTGAGAACCCTGCCAGTTATTTAAAATTATAAAAACAAAATGTAATGGGCTCTCACCCAAGTCCCAGTATGAACTCCACTACCATCCCCTTACATTAGTCAATATGTGTTTTCAAAGGTTGGGGAAATGAATGGGCACTGCACCATACTGTGAAAGTCATCAGATCTGGGCTACTTTGGATTGTGGGGTGGAAGGACATTTCAGAGCTCTTACAGAGAATCCCATGCCAACAGCCCCTTCTCTCCTATATCAAGGGGGAGAATCTAGCATTGCCTCCACTGACCACAACTATGGTAATATATCGCAGAAAGAGAGGTGGTGACTTAGGTAGTAGGCTCCCAGGCTATTAAATATGATGCACTGATGCAACATACAGCTTGGTGTAGGGAAACCCTAAAACTAACGATCCTACTGACATTAAAGAGCTTTAAGTGATCATGCTCAGCTGTTCTCAGAGTGGCTTGTGGGTTGGCTTCTCAGAATAAGAATCCATTATAATTATATTGGACTAAAATTCTAAAGGGCTATGCCAAGTACTTGTGAGTGTTAGAGGTTGTATGTCTTGTCTTAAAGTCTGAGATTTGCTGATCTCGCTCAAACTTCATAATTAATTGACTTCTTTATATCTTGCTATCCTGGGGTTTTAACAGAAATTCATCCCAGCAAGTCACAAAAGCCGCACAGATCAGAAAAGCTTAACTCAGCTCACTTTCAGAAAAGGCTTTTGGCTGAAACTCACTTTTGATTAAAAGTGCCCAACTCTAAGTATTGAATAGTTTTACATGGTGCCTTTTTTGCTGTTGGCCAAGGATGTATTTGGTTGTGCCTTAGCAAAAAGACTGTGGAATTCATCTGAGTTGTTTAATACTTACAGTAAGAGTTTGAAAGGGACTACAGTCTCAGGCTTCAGGCCATAAACCAACCTCTAGCTGAGATCCACTCACACTCTCTCTCCTCTAAAGTATCTGGTACTGGCCATGCTTGGTGGAATACTGGAGTAGATGGACCACTGGGCTGACCCAGTATGCGCGTTTTCCCCCCCCCCCCAGCTTCTTTTGAATCAGGAATATCTAAGAATTCTTCACTCACATCAGTCCCTAGCAGCCTCCTCTGGTCCACCCAGTAGAGGTATTGACTGGCTACGGATGAGATGAGCCTAACTCTCTGTCAGGAAAGAAGAGTTGCCCAGCTCCTTCATGGAGAGGAATAAAGAAAGATCAAAGGGACCCAGGTGGCTCAGTTCTCTTAATTCTGTTTCGTTTCCTCTTTCCTTCTGCAGCTAGTGGGCTATCCTTGAAAAGGAGGGTTTTGCTTTGACTGATATTGCTTTTCCTACGGAGCTGGTTGCACAGTCGTATTGACTAGGGCTGCTGTTGCTTCAGTCTCTGATTTGTGGTCTGAGGAAAGCACTGCTATGTTGCCTAACAGTCATACTTGTTTTCTTCCCCAGCGTCTGGCAGGCCTAGTAGCCCAATTTCCTTTGAGTGACAAGGGAAAGAGGTAATCTTGGAGTGACACCTCACCCGTGGTGGCTGCCCGAAGCCATTTGGCATGTTGTAGAAGTAGGCCTTTTATGTATTTTTGAGGTAGGTAGTATGCTAGATATCTTGCTGCCGGGAGATACTTTGATGAAGAGAGAGGATTGTAACCTCACATGAAAACCGAATCCTACAGTGATGATGGGATAAGTGGGTGGAGACTGCTTGGGTCATGGCTTTGATGCTGAGGTTTGTACTCTCAATCAGGGTATAGGCATTGCTTTTGGAAAACGTGGCTGCTTTGGAAAAGAGGGATTCTTGCAGGGTGGATTGATTTATATTTTTAAATAAAAGTAATTTAAATCACCAAGCAGGAAACCTTGATTTGACTCATTGATTTTAATTGTTTTGTATTTGTACTTTTTAGTTAATTTCTGAAGAGGTTAATTCTCAATGTTGTAATTTGGAAACTTTTTGCTAACCAGCAGGATACCCTGTACGCATTTAAGCAATTGTGTGAACTTCATATACATTTATTCAGATTTGTAATTTTGACTTATTACATTAGAAAATGGTGAATGAAATATTTATTTACTAGATTCATTTTTACTTGACAGGTTTCAGAGTAGCAGCTGTGTTAGTCTGTATCCGCAAAAAGAACAGGAGTACTTGTGGCACCTTAGAGACTAACAAATTTATTAGAGCATAAGCTTTCGTGGGCTACAACCCACTTCTTCGGATGCATATCCGTGGGTTGTAGCCCACGAAAGCTTATGCTCTAATAAATTTGTTAGTCTCTAAGGTGCCACAAGTACTCCTGTTATTTTTACTTGTGGTTTGTGTCGAGCTACATTTGCATGGAAATTGGAATTCAACTAAAAATGCACTAAGGCAGCTTTTAAAAATTTGTTTTGTTTAATTATTTGCATTTAAAACTAATTTATTAAAGGAAGTATTATTTGCAGTTGGTGAGTTGATCTCTGGTCACCATGTCCTTCACGATTTTAGAACTAGTAGATCTCCTCCTCACACCTAGTTTTTATTCATAGATCAAAAAAGGTAAACTAACTTTCCTGCTTTTTCAACTCCCAATCAGTTTTTCAAATTTGAATGAACTAGCCCAGGGGTAGGCAACCTATGGCACGCGTGCCGAAGGCGGCACGCAAGCTGATTTTCAGTGGCACTCTCACTGCCTGGGTCCTGGCCACCTGTCCGGGGGGGGCTCTGCATTTTAATTTACTTTTAAATGAAGCTTCTTAAACATTTAAAAAACCTTATTTACTTTACATACAACAGTAGTTTAGTTACATATTATAGACTTATAGAAAGAGACCTTCTAAAAACTTTAAAATGTATTACTAGCACGCAAAACCTTAAATTAGAGTGAATAAATGAAGACTCAGCACACCACATCTGAAAGGTTGCTGACCCCTGAACTAGTCTTTGAACTGATCTAGTCTAATAAACTGAAATGAAGAAAATATTCTCTGTCTACCTGCAGAAGAGGCCACTGCTGGTTAACACTTTAGGTAATGAGTGCTTAGCCAATGAGATTTGCTGCCTCTAAATTGGTCAGCAACTGGGGATAGAAGGAATATCCCCCTCCCCCTTCAGACCCCCCATGATGTGCATAATATCCAGGAGGTCAGCCTAGATGATCTGGTGGTCCCTTCTGGTCTTAAACTCTGACTTCCACCAGAGCAGTGGTTTGGCTTTCTTTAAAACTTCATCCGCAAACATGTACGGCTTGAATGTTGTTCAGTGTGAGATATTTTAATACCTTAGAGTAAGGTTAGGCCTTAACATAGCTGTCATAATTTCTATTTTAATTAAGCTTGTTTTAAAAAAAGAAAAATGTATTTCATTTGGATTTTTTATTAAAATTAAACTGACTTTTTTTTTTTTTTTAAATCCAGTTTTTGTCCACTCTGGGTTGTGGCTAACAGTATCTCCTTATCTGTCTACAGATCATTACATTTCATACCTAAAACTGCACCATTAACTTAATGTATTTGTTGACACCTCTTTTCTGTGCCCTTTGGGGCCAGCCTTCTGATCCTATCTTATCACCTGATGTTCGATTGCTTTTTTCCTTTTCCACAGCCAGTCTAATGGTCCCATCTATAAACACTTTCATGTTATGCATTGACACGTCCTTACATTTCCTCCCCCCCGAGTTATCGTCTTCATGCTGTGATTCCACTCATAATGTGCTCTTATTTTAAAGTAGGCACCTGTTGCCTGATTGGGAAGTTGAAGGAACACATTAAAAAATGGGTGGGACAAATTCCACAGCATGTTAGTTGCCCTGGTAACAAAACAGGCAGGGAAGGAGTGAGCAGTGCATTTTGATCAATGGTGCAAAGACATTTGTCTCACAAATCTCTCCTTTCATTATCCCGCCTTGACAAGGTGCCCTTTTTGGACTATTCATGCATCTCTTTGGCTTTATAGGAGCATCCTCTAATCCCAGCAGACGACGACTTCTCCAATGCCAATTCAAAGAAACTACAGCTCTAAACAAACTGTGGGTGTATTGCTAAACAGAAAGTGAAATGAGGGATAGAACACTACTCATTTCAGTAGCACTTGGATGTACGTTGGAGTGTAAAGTCTCCTCTTTTTCTTCTTCTTCTCTTCAGTCCCACAGAATAACGAGAAACTTCAGGAGAGTCCATGCATTTTTGCACTGACGCCAAGACAAGTGGAGCTGATCAGAAATTCCAGGTACTCTGTGCTGTGTATTTTTAAAACGCTGTTAAATGCATAACTTCCCTAACTGTCTTCCCTCCATATTGGGTCTCTGTTCTCTGCCTGGTAACACTGCTCACTTGAGAACACCAGCAGACAGGCTTTTCCCCAACATGAGGCCCATAACCATTTTTGGCACTGTCCAATCTGTCTTGGTCTCTGCAGACTTTCCTTCTGGCTAGTGCGATAAATCCCGGCTAGAATAGTAAGTTTAGGCAGGGCAAACAGCATGCAATTATTGAGGTCTTGAAACGTCTCTTTTAAGCCGACAGCGTGAATTTGTTTGCAGAATCTTTTTTTGAATCCCAGGTTAAAAACTATATACTTTGCCATTACACAAGGATTCTTATAATCGCTACCTGAGCAACCATCTTGCACTCTGCCACTAGGACTTCCCATGACAACTGTGTTCCTCTTCGGTGACATAACTTTCAACCCCAGGAGTGAAATACACCAGTGCGGGAGGTAAAGCTTACTCTGCGGCTGGCCTGTGACTCTGGAACCTGCTGCCATGAGAGATCAGAATGATGACAAACCTTTTGGGCTTCTGAGTGAAATGTAAAACTCGGACACAACTTTCCCACAGTAAACAACCGAATAATAATGTCACAAATCAGGGCGAGCTTCCTTCTTGAATATTTATTTTTAAGTTAAGTGCTCAAATAGTATGGCGATCTACATAGATGAAAGTAGTGCAAGGAAATGCCATTCAAAGACCAGCAGAGACATGGGCAGACCTTTTGGGATGATCTAACAGAAGACTGCTAACTGTGCATCTTGAATGTGGAGAAAGGAAAAGCCAGGAATATTTGGATTTGTGAGGGGATTCTCATCAGCTGTAATCCGATTAGAACATCGCATGCACTCCCTTTAGGGGTTCTAGTGAGCGCCTGACATCAGATGCAGTGCTCCTTCGGGGCAGGTCCTGCCTTCCCTGACACCAGCGAGAAGTATCTAAATATGGTCCCTGCTGATGGACTCTTTAGAGCTTTCAGAGTAACTCCCTTTCCTGTAAGCTACGGGCTGAACTCAACCTGCTGAAAACTTTAAACAATTTAAAAGTAGGACTGGATTGCGAAACACTTTCACTGTCAAATCCAGGCTAAAATTCTGACTTTAATCTGTGCAGAGGTTAGAGTACGTCTTGTGCCTGTGTCTAAAACTTTCTATTAAGAACCCCGTGTTCTGCTATGCAGCTTTTCGGAAACCAGTTAATATACTGTTTGTTAAAGCTAATAGTGTCAACAGGAATATTCTGTTGGTACCGTAATGCTCAGATTCCTTGATTTGAAGGAGCAGTTTTAGTTTACTAATCGAATGAAGAGGGTGATGTAGGGACACTGTCAGCCTAAGCATAGTGGGGGGCAGAGGGTGGGAATGTTTTACAGAATCTCATCTGCCTGGAAATGTTTCCACAGTCCCTTCATATTTTGATGAAGACAGATATTTTTCTTTAAAATTTCTCTGCAATTTTGGAAACCCAAACACCAAAACCTTGGTCTAGTGCATGAGAGCTGGAAAATGAAACTAACCAGACTGTTCCTATTTTCCAAAACAAGTGAAATTTTAAAAGTAAACATCACAAACCCTGACAAGTGATTAAAAATAAAAATAAAAATCTGTAATAGCTTTAGGTTATTTGTTTTTTGGATAAAGAAGAAAACTGAGGTTTTGTTAAATGAAAGTCTGTTTGTCTTTTGTTTTACCAGGGAGTTGCAAGCTGGTGTGAAATCTGTTCAGGTTGTGCTAAGGTAAGTCTGAATACCATGAAATTAATTAAACCCATGAGGCAGCAAACTAGGGGAGGGAGATCAATAGTACAACATGGTAACAGTTTCAGTGCTCTGTGTTCAGTAGCTACTAAAATAACGGATCACTTTAAGCAAGTCCCTTGTTTGCAAGGATAGCACAAGCATCTTACAACATAACTTTCTGCTGCTTTGACCCTCTTGGTTCTCTGCAGATGATTTGAGTTATTGCTTTAATAGAAACTGCTGGTTACATAGCATTCTGCTGTGAAGCCGAATTTGAAGTCTATATCATGTCCTCAGTAGAGATTCCTGGGTGTAATGGGTTTGGTTTGACCAGATGACAAGTTTGGGTGGTACTCCAAGCTGGCTGCTGTTGAAGTCAATAGTATTTATTAGGATAGAGATCTTTTAAATCGCATATGGGATGTAGACATTTAAAGGTCCCCATTTCTTTCCAGAATCTGCTACACGGACACTAGTTCCCCACAGGAGGATCAGTACCCTCCAAACATCGCAGTAAAAGTGAATCATAGTTACTGCTCAGTGCCGGTAAGTCAACCCAGCCACGAAGTGTCACTTCACACACATTCTTCCTGTGCTGTAATTTAAATGGTTCTGTTTTATTCTGGAAATTATCTGGTGAATACAGAAGGGGAGCTGCAGTGCTAAAAGTAGATTGTTTTGACTTTGAAGCTCATTGTGTAATGGATTTGGTTTGTAGAGTTCATTAACCGTAGTCTTGCAAAACTGCCATGAAAGTGCAATGTCCACTTCCCTGCTCTTTACTATGACTTGATGATCTCATCCAAAAAAGTTACTCTGTGCATGAGCAGAATTTTTCAAGGCTGATGTCCTTGTAGCTGAAAAGGGAAAAAATCCACAGCAGTGTCTCTGCTAAAATAAAGAGGAAAAATGTCTCTTTGCTATAGGGCTACTATCCATCTAACAAGCCTGGAGTGGAACCTAAAAGACCCTGTCGTCCCATTAACCTCACGCATCTCATGTACCTGTCTGCAGCGACCAATCGAATCACGGTTACGTGGGGGAATTATGGAAAGGTAAATGACTGTGTGACTTGGGAAATAAACGAACGTGTGTGGAGTGTGCCCTTTCTCCTCATCCTTTCCCTTTCCTTCCTCTTTAGAGTTATTCAGTGGGCCTATACTTAGTGCGGCAAATGACCTCAGCAGAATTGCTACAGAGGTTGAAAACCATTGGAATCAAACATCCAGAGCTCTGCAAGGCACTCGGTAAGTCCATGTCGTTGTTAAAGTTCATGCAGTCTTCATCAGACTGGACAGTCTGAAGTCGGCTACTAGAAATTTGTGTGGAAACAATTGTCAAATTCTATAGAATCTTTCTCTGCAAGTCTATAAAAACATTTGTCAAATGTGAGTGACTTTGCTAAGCTGTGTATTAGGCACATTATCAAATTGCCCCAGATCTGTGCAGAGATTTTTTGCAGCACTTTTTCTTGTGACTGTACAGATGAATTATGACCTCATTTAGTTGGATTTAGAATTCATTCCCAGGTCATATTATGGTGAGTTATGCTGAGGGTCAGTGTCATTCTGATGAGTGGCTTCCTGCCTTCAGCTGAATAATTATGAATGTTGCCAGAGCACTTGCAGGATCTCCAGAGGAAATTTCTGGAGCAAAGAACTCTTATGTGGAAATGCCCTGCTGCCAATCCCCCTGTGTTTGAGAGCAGGAGTTCACAGCACCTCTTTCAAATGCGATGATCGATCTTTAGAAAAGAGGTGATCCTTGGTCGAACCCATTCAGATAGATCATGGTAGTGGGTAAATGCAGAACCTTATTGGAAATCTAGGGAAATTACCTTTCAAAGGCAAGGCCAGACCGTCAGTTCCTAATGAGGAACTTACTTCCAGTGATTCCAAATTATATTATGACATAATGACGGTAGCACTTAATTCTGTATAAGAGGACAATAAAAAAAATCATGCTGTGGTATTCTACACTAACCACAGACTGCACTTAAGGGGCACAATTTCAAAAAAGGTCTATTTAATGTATAGGGAAAAACACATGTTCAGATGTATCAGGTCCTTGTAGCCTGGTCACTAGCTACAGATGACTGATTATATTGAAAAGAGAGAATTCAACATTCCTTTAGGAGGCGCAGTGTGGCCTAGTTGATAGAGCACTGGGTTTGGAATCAAGAGGCCTGGGTTCTATCCCCGGTTCTGTCACTGGCCTGCTGGGTGACCTTGGGCATGTCCCTTCCTGCTCTGTGCCTCCATTTCCCCATTGATAAAATGGCGCTAAAGGTACCAACTTCCTTTAAGTGTTTTGAGATCTACTGATGAAAAGTGCTAGATAAGTAGGGTGACCATATAGCAAGTGTGAAAAATTGAGGTGCGTGGTAATAGAGGCCTATATAAGAAAAGGCCCCGAATATCAGGACTGTCCCTATAAAATCAGGACATCTGGTCATCCTATAGATAAGACTTATTACATTGCAACAGTTCAGCCAAACTCTAACATCCATTTGTACAACTATCTTTAGGGTTCTCTATGGGTCCAAATATACCTTTGTACCTTGCCCCTCGCTCCCATCCCTGCCCAGGTGTGGTGCAGATGGACATGCTGATCTCTTCCAACTCAACATTCTGGCAGTGGCTTTGGCACAATTGTGCCTAAATAACCAACGGTCCCATGTGATTGATGGACAGCTGCAGAACTGTTGCATCTTTGCTTATGGCAATCTGAGCATAAGGGGAAGGAAAATGGTAACCAGCTAAGTGTTTGGCAGTCACTGGTGGTTGTGAGGCTTATGTATCTAGCATATCTGAAGCAGCGGTTGTGGACTGCACTCCCATTTCCCCTAGCCGTTAGTGCTGTAAATAAAACCAGATCCCATCATTCCTCTTTGAGCCCAGTTTTTGTGAAACAGGACTGTGGGTAATCCGAGTAGAATGACTCTTCCTTTCAAAACTAGTACTTACAATATATCCCCTCAAAGTCTGGAAGCATCATGCAAATATTCTACAAACAGGATTTCCTGCCTTTACTGTTCGCAAGCTTATTTTTGTCAACCCCTCTAACTCCAGTGGGATAGTTTAATAAAAACCTTGGCTTCATTTGGCTGGCAGAGGTGGATTACTTTTGTTAAATTCTTAACCCCGGAGTCATCTTTCTTTTGTTTAGTTTCCCTAGGCATGTTATGAGCTAATGAGAAACACCATCACTTTGGCTTTATTTTTTGTGGGCATCTGAATCTGCCAGATCCAAGTATCTTGTAAACCCTGCTACGATAGCTCACCAGTGCATTCTACAATAGTTTCGGATTCTGGTCACCTCTCTTTCATTAACCACTAACACTGCCCTTTAACTCCACTTGCTTACCAGGGCTGACTTATCTTCCTCTGCATATGTTTCTGTTGACCTCTCTAAGGGTACGTCTATACTTACTTCCTGGTCCGGATGTAAGCGATCGATCTTCTGGGATCGATTTATCGCGTCTTGTCTAGACACGATAAATCGATCCCGGATCGATCCCGGAAGTGCTTGCCGTCGACGCCGGTACTCCAGCTCAGCGAGAGGAGTACGCGGCATCGACGGGGGAGCCTGCCTGCAGCGTCTGGACCCGCGGTAAGTTCGGACTAAGGTACTTCGAATTCAGCTACGTTATTAACGTAGCTGAATTTGCGTACCTTAGTCCGAAGTGGGGGGTTAGTGTGGACCAGGCCTAAGAGCACTTTCTGAAATCTGGTACTTAGATGCCTAACTGTGGAGTTGAAAGCCAAAGTTTTGTCACCATTAAAATCTTAATGCTAGTTAACAGCTCCTAGGATATAGTTGTTCTCATTTCCCATGATCTCCTGGACTGGATGGAAAATGAATTTAACTGTTTACAGAATTTAATGCTTGGTTTTCTCATAAAACAATACTATACAACCCCACCAGCCGTTGTTTTAGTTGTAAAGCAACATCTCGGCAGAGAGCTGTTTTTGTTTCAAAATGCATAAAGATTCTGTATCGAGTTGTGTTTTATGATGGTCTGAAACAGCCAAGGTAATGCACCCTTACCCAGAGAGACATGATGGTGGAAATGTAATAAACCTGTATGAACAGCAGCGCTAGGGGGCAGCTTTTGTAATGTTTATGGAGTGATTTGTTTAGGGACAGTATTCTGTGTTCATTCAGCACCTGTTTAATTAAAAAGATGTGTATGGTTGTCTCCCTGTGGCCCCTGCAGTCACATAGGCCCCCCACATCTCACCTGCCAGCTAGAGCATCCTCCTTGATTGTCTGCTGTCCCATCAGATTTTTTACATGGGTGAGCTTCAGTAGAGACTGAACTCCCTACCACCTGTCCGAATGTGTCGATTCCTTCCAAATATGCCTATTCCCTCCTTGGAAAACGGCATTTTGGCCAGACCTCCTGCCTTGCGTGCTCTCTGGCTTTGCACATGTTAATCTCCCAGACGTGACACAGCCTGCTGAAGTGCAGAAACTGGCCAGTATGCCCGCAGCCCAGCTTGTTGGTCAGCTCCAGAGTTGCACCCCGTTGGGGTCTGGATAGAGCTAGTCTGTTCAGCTCAGATGAGACTAGGAGGGTCAGTTGGACTAGGAGTCCTGCTGCCTCGCTATCTCTTGGGCTTGCCCCATTATAGTGGTGTCACTCTGTATTGTACTATGATTTTTAAGTGGGTGTGGCCCTATCTTGAATGCCAGGTACTTGTCCAGTATCTGCCCTGATGTTGCAGTGACGTGACCCACTACCATCTCCCACCCTGTTGTCCCTGTACTACATGGTTGACTGAGTCGCTTGCATATTGCGGAGAATTTGCCGCATCCTCCCCGGCATCAGCAGTTTTTTCCCCATGTGACAATCGCAAAAGCTTGCCTCTTATACTACATGTTATTCCCAGGTTTAAAACGGGCTGCTTTAATTTTATCCCCTCTTGTCTTCCTGAATACAGTAAAAGAGAAATTGCGTTTGGATCCAGACAGTGAAATTGCTACTACAGGTGTTCGAGTCTCTCTCATCTGCCCGGTAAGTTGTTGCCCAGCAATCCAGGCTGTTAACATTAGCTCTCCTATTCATCTGTCCAAACCATCTTTACAGGATAATCATCTTTTTCACCAAAAACATCTAGAAGCAGTTTCTTGTGTATTTGCACAAGGCACCAGTATCCAATTTTGGAAGGGGAAGCATCTAGTAATACAATGGTGGGATGGGTCACCGGTCTGTCTGCTCTTGGTCCCGTAGCTGGTGAAGATGCGTCTGTCTGTCCCATGCCGGGCTGAGACCTGTGCACATCTACAGTGCTTCGATGCAGTCTTCTACCTCCAGATGAATGAGAAGAAGCCCACTTGGATGTGTCCTGTGTGTGACAAACCAGCACCCTATGATCAGCTAATAATTGATGGGTGAGTTCACGCACTCCTTCCTCTTCTGCCCCTTTGGTTATTCCTCCCCACCCTCTTCCACATTGGGCTCGTGCTCTGGTTTTTAAGGCCTTCTAGCTGATCCACCTCCGTTTCAAAATTGTTTTTAAGTTTAAAATATATAATTGATCCTTGGGCATGTAAGAGACCAACCTCCCCGTTACTGGTGGTAGTGGGTTTCCGTGAGACTCGGTCATTAGTCTTTGCTTCTTGATTCTGTCGTTTCTCATCCGCTCGCTCCAAAACTCATACAGCCATCTTCATTTTTCATCTCGGTGATCGCAAAAGCTAGGCCGCTTTGCTCTTTTCCATGCAGTGATTGTTGATTGTCATTTACGCTCCCTAGAATAAAACTGCTTTACACACTCCTGACAAGACAGGCTGCCTTCGGCACGCACTCTTCTCCCCCTCCTTCGTTAAGGGCCTGATCCTGCAGTACCTCCCAAGCAGTTCTCAGCACGTCATAAGTATGTGCCAACCATTAATCCAGGGGTCATTAGATGCAGAGCTAGCACATCTAAGATGGAGGTATGAATGCAGTTATAAACCAGTGCTCTGTGGGTACTTTTTTTTTGGATACTCCACCTGCAAACTGTGCAAATAGTATCTGTAGCGGTAGGCTGCAAACTCCTTAAAGTCCTTAGAAAAAGCTTTGTTGGCAATTTTTATATTATGAGTTCCTATAACAGGAACAAGACATGGGGTTGGAATCTCTGTAGGGGCATATTGAAGGTATGTTGGGCACCTTATTTATGAATACCCACACTTTCAAAGGTTTGGGGTTCTTGTAAGCTTAGCTTCCATTGTTTTTACTAATATGTTCTTGAAATGATTTTATTTTTACTTTTTGATTCTTTTGGTCTGGGTTCATCAAAGCAGCTTAGGGTTGTAGTCTTGCATCGTTCAGCACTAATCCAGGCTCTTCCCTGCCTGTAGATGGAGACAGTACAACAAAGACGCTTTTATAATGTTCTTCCATAAATAAAAGGAGCTTGTTGGTTCATGGTTCTAGTAGTATCTGCCTCCAATAACCTTACTTTGGTAGGTTCAAAAAACCTCAAGCTGTTAAGCATTGAATCATCTTTGTTATAATGTCACACTAGTGGTTTGTGCTGCTATCTGAGAGGAGCTTTTTGTGAGTAAGCTTTAGACTTTCAGATGGAAGATCCTGTGTATTGTATCTCTAACAACATTACGAGGTCTGGCAGCACTCCCCAGCACTTACAAACATACTGGCGCACTTACTGTGCTTACTAGGATTCCAAAAAAGTATCTAAGGTTTGTAGAGGGCCCCGCTGAGCTCTGATCCAGCCAGTCGAGTTTGGGTCACTTTGTTAAAACAGCATATGAAGGAGGCAGACCAGAGAACCAAGTCCAAGAGAGCATTATGGTCCACGTTGGGAGGCAGGAGGCCTGCATTTTGTTTCCCCCAATCTGGGGCAAGAATCTGAAGCCACAAATTTTAGGGAAGGTCCTTAAAGACTGTCCAACCCCAAACCATCATCTTCTTTTAGCCCCTTGTGGAGACTGTGTGTTTAATATATCTGGAGGAGGGTTCTTTCATTCTGTCGTCTTGTGCTGCCCAGTGTGTTTTTGTGGGTCCCGAACATTAGGGTGGCAACCCTAAAAGCCCATGCCTTCAGATTGTGAACTGTAGGGGGTTTCTATGCCCTTTGAAAAAACTTGATAAGAGAACAACTGGCCTGTGAGGGGGCATGTCCTACAGATGCAATATTCAGTGTTGGGGTCCACATACCAGTACCAATACCTTTGGACTAGCAACAGCACCATAGACATTCTCAAACATGGTGGCCGTTTATACATCAGCCTGGAAGGGAGAAGGCTTCACAGTCTGTCTATACTTGGGCAACTGGCTGAGTCAAAGAGAGTCCTTAACCCTTAGCCTTGAAGACATTTAAGAATGTCAGCTGCTCAAAGATTAATGCTTGGTAATAGACCAGCACCTTGGAGGTGATATGCTTCCATTGTGCATCTCAGAACAAGGTTTGATACTGTGATATTGGAAGATCATATAAAGAAACATGGAGAGATGGAACTGAGTCTTATCAAGAGGATAGTCCTATCCAAGGAATGTCTGCCTCTTACCATTGAGGTATGGTCTCCATATGCAGAACCGGGACAAGAGTCCTCTACAGAACCACTGAACTAGCTAATCCAGCAACAGATGCCACCCTAAACAAGTTACAGACCTGACTAGGATCCCCAGTAACTCCAGGAACATGGGTTTAGATGCTGATCACCTTAAAGGAGAGCTCAGTAAACTGGCTGCCTACTCTGCCAAGAGCAAAGGAAGGAACAAAGTGATGAATGCCATTGTTTCCTATGTGAACAAGGCAGCACAGGAATCAGGAAATGGCTAGACAGCCTGACTATTTACTGAGCTTCGGTGTGGAAATTGCTGACAATTGTACAAATGGTGATGGCAACAAGGTGCAGAGCTCCTGGTTTCTGGGAAACGAACTCCCGCCTCAGATATCTCAGACCTCCTCATGGGGATTCTCTCAAATATACTGATGGACCCAATCACAAGAGCTCAGATGAATTCTACAAAGGGCAGATGAGTGAGTATATGTGAACTTCAACCTCGGTTATATATTCCCATGGATTTAGTCATGCAGACAGTACTCAGGGCATCAAGAAATTCATAGTTCCTGATCTTCTCTGGCTATTGTGACCTCCTCAGTCAGTCTGAAGCAACCTAGGCATAGATTACCTGTTCACTTTGCCCTGTGGCCAATACATAGGCTTGGAAGAATTGAATTTTTAACATTTACCAAGAAAAATCTAAAGTTACTGATATGCAAAGTAAGAAAAATGATGCTTGAGAACTTGTTAGAGTTGGATTTAAAAATATTTACTTTGTATATTTTGACGTGTTTGTTTTAAGTCATAAAGATTTAACTTTTTGAATCTTAATGTCTGTCATTAAATAATTATTTGACCCCATGTAATTTCCTGAAACTGTGGAAAATTTAAACAGATGAAAACAGAAGAAGATGCTTAAATAGGCTTTGAGATTATCCATCAAAATTATTAAATTCTGCCAAGCTTACCAATGCATACTCCTGGGGGAATTTTGCATCGCTGTGCATGTGCAGAATTCATGTCTCCTGCAGATTTCTTTGCTTCCCCGTAGAAAAATGACTTCTGATAGGAAAGCAAAGGAAAGCTGCAAGAGCAGTCATGCGCCCCTGCCTGTGCTGTCAGGAAGTTGGCTCAGGTGCCCAGAGCAGCCGGTAGAGGTGTAAATCACCACCGGAAGGGGGGAGCTGGGCAGTCATGCAAGTGAGAGAGACATTCTGTCCCTCTCGCTCGCTATTGCAGCAAGCACAGAGTGGAGGAGCAGGGCTTCAGGATGTTTCTGAGGAGGTAGGAATGGGGCAGGCTCTGTCCCCTCAGGCAGAGCAGAATGTAGCAGCCTACCTGCTTAATGAATTGTTCCCATTGTCTTTTGAATCCCCCCCGCAGGTGTATAAAACAGGTGTAAAAGTTTCAAGGCTCCTTCACATTGCCAGAAGGGTGTAAAGCAGTGCTTCTCAAAGCCGGTCTGCCGCTTGTTCAGGGAAAGCACCTGGCAGTCTGGGCCAGTTTGTTTACCTGCTGTGTCTGCAGGTTTGGCCGATCGCGGCTCCCACTGGCCTGGGGAAGCGGCACAGGCCGAGGGATGTGCAGGTCGCCCTTCCCACAGCCCCCATTGGCCTGGAGCGGCGAACCGCGGCCAGTGGGAGCTGCAATCAGCCGAACCTGCGGATGTGGCAGGTAAACAAACCGGCCTGGACCGCCAGGGCTTTCCCTGAACAAGTCGGCTACCCGACTTTGAGAAGCACTGGTGTAAAGGACAGTATGGCCTTATAAATGCTTATTGTGCTTTCGTGATTAGAACTGGTCTACATTTTTGGACTGAAAACATTTCCTATCAAAATGTGCTCCATGAACTGTTTGCTACTGACCTTTCTGGAGATGGTCAGTAGCCAATGTAAATTGTGAGTTTGATTTCCCCAGCCCTCAGTTGCCTATGATGTAACACTGAGCATATGGCTGCATAGATTTGTTGACTAATAACTAGAAATAAAGGGTCAAACTTAGCCACATTACTGTTAGGCAAGGGGGTTTGGGGACTTCCTCCAATGCTCCCCATTCCTATGCTCCATCCATTGTATTGTAGTTTAAATAAACTACTGAAATAATTGAAACCAGAGTGATTATATTGCATTATTTTGACAAATGCAGAATTTTAAAATATTGTGTTCAGAATTCCCCCAGGAGTAAATACACCAGGAATATCCATTTCCCTTTCTCATTTATAGCCTGGCTATGGAGGACTAAAGCTTATGGAAGAAAGGGTGTTCCAGTAGTGCTACCTCCACTGGCAAAACTTCCTTTTCTTTATTTTACAGCAGAAAACAGTGATGTAGAGAAGATGAACTCGATCCAATCCATGCCTTTGTCATTAATCTGGCATTTCTCTAGACAGCTGAACTTTGTACCTGTTCAATTTTTGTAAAATTGGTAGTAATAGTCAGTCTTTAGGAGTAAACTAGAGCGGACCATGTTGGAGTCTGATCTGGATGTTGTCCGTTTCAGCAAGCAAAGGAACACAACCTTTGTGTTGATCCGGTAAAGATCCAAGGAAGCTACTGAAGACCAAGCTAGTTGATGGATCTCATGTAAAATGGTTCAGGGAGGCTTACATCCTTAAAGTTCTATTTCTAGTATCCATTTTGCTAGGCTAGGAGACTAGAGCCGTCCAGGTCCTGTCGTGAATCAAATAGCAGATCCTACTCAATCGGGGCAAAGCAGTGCTCAGAATGATATCGCACTTCAAGGAAACTTCAAACTTTTACAAATCAAGTGTTGGTTCACCCTCGTACTGATAAAGGGAAAAACTCCACAGCCTAGGCGTGAGTGATGCTTTCTACAATCTGAATTCTAGATGGTCTGTTCCAATAACTATTAAACAAACACCCTCATGAGGCCAGTGATGAGAAACACTTCAACAATAGTAAAGCAAATGCCCAACCTCTAAGGCACGATGAACCAGAGAGGTAGTCTCGATCTGGTTAGAAGATGGGTAATCCTTGTGATTAGAGATGGGTAAGGTGGCCATCTGGATCTATGCCATCATTTTTTGTATTTTCAACACCGTGTGGGCTGGGCACAGAAGCTTTTTCTGATGCAGCCTCTAGCGGGAGGACATTGCATGCATTATACTTCCCTGGAGATTTCATCACTAGCTTGGGAAGTCCAGCGTCTGGACTGATAAAGAGTAAGAAGAGAGGAAGGCTACACTTCCTACCTGACTTTCGTAATCTGGTGGATTACTCTGTCCTTTCATAATGTAATAAACTAAATGTGTGTGCATAAGTCACCCAGTGTACTATAGATGTAGCATCATAAGAATATTGTCTGGGCAGAAGCACAAGGGACTTGTCTATTGGCCTAACTTCACACTTGCAGTGGGGGTGGGAATGTGTTCTACTGTAATTAAAATTTCAGCCTTTGGGATCTGATGGGCTACAGGATGGGGTGTGAGGAGCTGAGTCTTTTGCATCGTGTTCAAATGTGGTCTAATAACTGAGTTGCTATCTCAGCCCACTTCCTAGTGGAAAGGCTTCCTCAAAGAACTACCACCTGTCATAAATAACAGTAGTTGTCCTCTCCCACACCATGGGCAGCATCAGCAGAGACCAAGGACTGAATTGAGCATGGAGGCTGCTCTCTGATTCATGGTTTAAGCCATGTCAGGATGGACTGGGGATGTTGGTACTGCCAGTACCTGGTGTGGGGGGAGAGGGGGGGAATAGGACTTGGGTGTAGCAGCTTTTCACTACCAAATTCCCTTCAAACATAAATTTTAGGGCCATTTAAGGTGAGGATCCATCTTCTTCGCGTTCTGTCGTCAAAGGTGCTCTGCTGATTGCCTCAAGGCTAATAGATGGCATCTTCTTTCCTCTCCAGGCTGCTATCAAAAATATTGACGGAATGCGAGGATGCAGATGAAATAGAATACCTGGTGGATGGATCCTGGTGTCCAATCAAAGCTGAGAAAGAGAGAAGCTGCAGCCCTCAGTGTCCAATATTGGTACTAGGTGGGTGTGTAGTGAGTGGGGCTAATGATTTTAAATGCACTGAAAGATGAACTGTAAAGAACATACACAGATCACTTGATACAAAATCGGGAAGCTGGGTCAGTGTTGGAGAGTTGTCGAACACCTTATGAGCTCTGCTCAGAATACCGCTGTAAGTCAGCTAATAGGTTCCCCCGTCTTTCTATACAAAAGAGTAAGTAGTATCAGAGATAGTAACTGCACAGTAAGGAGGGGATCATTCTGGTTGGGGTCCTCGAGCCCTTTGAATAGATCCCTAATGGTTTAGTTAGTGTTCAGATCAGTTGTTTAGCAAAACTGGGTTATCCCTTCAAAGTGGCATGGAACTAACATCTTTTATATATTCACTTATAGAATAACCCTGAAATGTTCTGCCTCCACTCATGGACCTTTCATTAGTGGTGTTTTTACCAACAAATCGGTCTGCATTGTTCTGTAACGTCTGACTGAAGCGGTCCCTTATTTTTGTGCAGATATTTCCTGAGCAAACCCTAATTCTTTGAGTGGCTGCCGATGTGTGTTCCATTCATGTGTGCACTTGTCCAAAGCACTGAAGCCAAAGACCTCCGCTTGGCAGTACCTGTTGGGGTGGTACTTGTGCCCACTGGCTGCCATAGCCCCTACCATGGCTATATAAGGGAGGCAGCGCTCTGATCCCCCTCAGTTCCTTCCCGCCCGCGGCTTGAGTTGGAGCGTTCAGTGTGGTGTCTCACCTCATGTTCTCTATCGCAGGGTTTATTGGGGGGGAAAAAAACAAGAAATAGTTAGTTTAGTAGTACCTTAGGGTTTAATGCAGTGTAGTTAGTTTTTTTTTAGCCAGGTGTGACACCTTCCCTGAGTTTTAAGCATTGTCCACCATGTGGAGTAGCTATCCCTACCAGTGACCCCTCCCCCTCTCCCCCCACGCTCAATGTTTGTTGTGCCTTGGGGAAGGGCACATTAAGGAAAGATGCTCCATCTGTAAGTTCAAGAAGAGAATGCAGGTGGTTAGAGCCTTGCACTTAAATTAGCACCTACTAGAGCAGAACATGAGGCCTGCTTCAGCAGAGGGGACTGCCACAGATCATCAGGCCCCTCGGAGAGCACCTGAGCTGGTATGGGCTGCGACTCCACAGTCATACTTGGATTCCTCGCCCAAGAGCAACAGTGATTGTTCTCCTTCCTTTGGTAATGTGAGGGAAAAGCTCTCACAAAATGGACTGGAGCCGCTCCAGAACTTGGAGAGATTCCTACTCCCTTTCTAAGAGAAGTGTAGACCGGCACTGTGAGTCTTTCAGTATGTGGGATAGAGGTGGACTGTCAACCCACTCTGCAGTACCAATGTGAAGCCAGTTAGAGACTGTACAGTCAACTCTGGTACCGCCTGTGGGGCATCCATTGAGTCCAGTCCCAACAGTGTTGTCGTCATGGGTGGTTTCCATATTGGCAGTGTATTGGGCAGCAGTGGATTTGCTGTGCCTTTCTGTTCCTGACTCACCACTTGTTCAGGAGCATTTTACAGTGGTGGCTTAGTATTCGGTGTCCTTGGCACCACTGGGACTGGCTGCAGACTGTTGTTGGCTCTGGCTGCAGCACCTCGTACCCATGGGGCAGGGTTGCAGTTGGCTTCCTGGTCTGTACCGAGGGGTTTGCCAGTGCAGATGCTATCTTCGGTACCGACAATGATTGCAGCGCAGTCTAACTCTGGGTCTGGGATCAACTCTGGTTTTGGTACCAATGCCGGCTTCGATACGGAGTGGGTTGCCTTTATCAGGACTGTAAGTGCCATGTCTTGCAGTTGATGCAAGGCCTTTACTGGCTTCATCTGGAGTGGCTCCTTCATTACAATCAGACTATATGAAGAGTCTTCAGGATCTAGTTAGGAGACCTTTCCATCTTCTTCACCTTCGCAGTCCCACTCTGAGGTCACTTAAACTTCTGGGCGATTGCCAGTGGTATGGGGATTGGTACCACTCATGCATTAGGGATAACTACACCTGGCCTAGCTTCTGCTGGTCACTAATGTCCTACCCTATCCAGTGGCTTACTTGGAATCCTTGGGCGGTTCCTTATTCGGCAAGGTCCGAATCTTCCACTAAGTCCAGGGCAAGCTCACCTGTTCTCTCCCCTTCCGAGCTGCTTGTGCTTCAGCCATAGACTGAGTTGGCTTCCTCTTAATCGGTGCATCCTGGAACCCTTGTTATAGTCATGTGTTTCCACTGCTTCCTTCTTCCTTGTCGCCAGATGAAGAATCCAGCCCTATAGCATCATCTCTGGTACCTAAAGATTTTAAATCCTTATCCAGATCTCTTGAGATGAATGGTCTCGATCTTGGCTATTCAAGCTGAGGTTTTTAAGGAGAACAAACCTACGTTACTGGATATCCTTCAGTTCTCAGCTCCTAGGGAGAGTGGCTCTCATTATAAATGAAGTGATCTTCGAGCCTCCCAAATCTGTGGAATACCCCCAATGCCTCTAACACCCACAGCAAAGTGTACTGATGAGAGATTACGTTCCCAGGCAAGGTTCCCATGCAAGTGTGTTTTCTCACATCCAGCTCCTATTTCCCTGGTTGTGATGGTAAAAAACAAGAAGTTATGGCAGGAGAGCGAGAAATCCATTCCTCAAGTCGGAGTATAAGAGGTTGGACTTGATGGGGAGGAAAGTTTATTCAATCTCTTCATTACAAAGTTGAGTTGCCAACCAGCAGAAAATATTACCTAAATATGACTTTGTGAATTGGGACGCTGTGTCCATGTTTACAGATTAGTTATCCGAATCCTCCAGGGAGAGTTTTGAGGCATTTATTGCATAAGGCCATTTGGTGGCCAAAACCTCTTTGCAGTCAACATTGGATGTGGCAAATGCTTTGTCCAGTTTTATGGCTTCGGCAGTAACATTGAGAAGGGCCTCGAGGATACGGAATTCTGGCATAGCTCCTGAGGTCCAAAGGAGCATAGAGGACTTACCTTTTTATGGTCAATTTTTGCTCTCTAAGAAACTGATGATACGTTGCATTCTTTTGAGGACTCATGCTACTTTCCAGTCATTGGGAATTTTATACCCAGCCCACAAAGAGGCACCATTTTGCGGGGTCAGCTACAGCCCAGCAATATCGTCTGCATTGATACTTCCAGCTGTTATCCTACCTTGGTAGGCTGCAAGAATTCTTCAGAAAAGGGCATAAATCACAGAGGAGACCTGGTTCTAATTTTAACCAACCAGCCCATCCTCCTCCTCCATCTTTGGGCAGGCAGAGTCTTTGACTTGCATATCGAGAGCAGCTTACCAGTTGTGACCGTCTCAACTACATCTCCATTCGGGGATGGGCTGTCTCATTTCTGCAGTGCATGGGAAGCAATTACTACGGACAGATGGGTCCTAAGAACTGTGGGGTCAGGTTATGCCATCCAACTTCTGTCCATTTTCCCCTTTCCACATCAGTTTTCAGGGACCCATCTCCGAGCCGCTGCTGCTGCTGCTTCAGCAGGTCCAGACTCTGTGCTCTGGGAGCTGTAGAGAAGGTGGATCCTTTTAATCTATTCTCCTCACTTTGGATCACGCCGTCTGGTTTGCTGCTCTCAATCTTCAGGATGCCTGCTTCCATGTGGTGATTTTTCCCAGACCACAGGAAGTTGCCTAGTCATCAATCAACATTATCAGTACGCTGGTCTCTACTTTGGCCTGTCATCAGCCCCATGTGTCTTTAGTGAATGTATGATGATGGTTGTAGTGGCTTATCCCCAATGGAGGGGAATTCATGTCCTCCCGTACCAAGACAATTGGGTAGTGAGGGGCAGATCCAAAGAATAAGTCCTCAGTCCTCTCCAGTTCACACGGTACCTCTTTGATCAACTGGGGTTGATTTTGAACACAGCAAAGTAGACATTGATTTTTATGAGGACCTTATTAGACTCTATGAACTTGAGGGCCTTTCTCCCATGTCAGTGATTCCAAACAATATGACACCTTTGTGCCTCTGGACCTCTAATCTCAGCCTTCGACCATGGTCCACGTATACCTGAAGTTACTAGATCATATGGCCCCGTGCACTTATGTGGTCCAGCACGTGAGATTGCATCTTAGACCAACTTCAACCATGACTGAAGAGGACAATCACCCGAGTTGCCACCAGAGATACTGGGCTCGCTACAGTGGTGGGCTAAACAGAACAATGCATGTCAGGTTCCCTTTGCCTGTCCTCTACTGACCAGGACTCCAGTCAATGATGCCTCCATAATAGCGCATCTACGGACATTAAAGGTTTATGATTTGTGGTCAGAGACGGAAGCGTCTTTTCATATCAATATACTGGAGCTTCAAGCCACTTATGATGCTTGTCCTGCCTTTTGGGATCAGATCAGGGGAGCATACCACCACAATGCTTCATTTGAACAACCAGAGAGGAGCCCGTTCCAACCAGCTTTGCTAGGACGCAATAGCGTTCTGGTACTTTTTGCATCAAAGACATCATGCTTTACAGCCTCACGCTTACCGGCCTCACAAAACCAGTTGGCCAACCATCTCAGCAGGAGTTTCTCCGAGAACCACAGGTCTCTGAAAAGCAGCATGGTGAGGCCCATCCTCAGGGAATGGGGCATCCCTTCAGTAAACCTGTTTGCAACAAAGGACAGTAAAAATGCCGTCAGTTTTGTTCTTGATCTCAGTCCAGGATCTTTAACCAATGCCTTCCATTTGAATTGGGGATCAGCCCTGATGTACGCCTTTCCCCCTATTCCTCTTCTCTCTCAGGTTATCCTCAAACTCTGAAGTTGGACCTTGCCAAACTGATACTTATTGTGCGAGCTTGGTCAAGACAAGGTTGGATCTCTAACCTTCTCAATCTGTCTGTCCAGCCTCCCAGATCTCTTCATCTCTTTCCCGACCTCCTGACTCAGCACCATGGCCAAGTTGCATATCCTACGCTGAGCAATCTATACTTCACAGTATGGATGGTTAGATGAAGAGGAAAGGCAGTATTTGGAAGCAGTTTGGAGGGGCCTACTTAATAGTAGAAAATCATCTACTAGGACCACCAATTTAGCCAAGTAAGTTTTCCCCATTTGGTCAACATCTAGGGGAATTCAGCTGATTTTCGCTCATGCTTAGGATGCTTTGGGATTACTTGTTACATCTGAAGTCCTCCCGTCTGCCCCTTAGCTTGTTGGCAGCAATCTCGGCATTCCATTCTCCAATCCAGGGGAAGTCAGTTTTCTCAGACTCCATGACGGTGAGATTTCTGAAAAGTATTGTCCGTCTGTTTGCACCTGTGAAGGAAATGGTCCCGTTGTGAGACCTTAATACTGTACAGGCCACCCTCATGTGTCCTCCATTTGAGCCGCTACCAGCTTGCTCTTCGTCTCTTTTTCTTTCCCAGAAGACGGCCTTTCTTATTGCTATAACATCCACAAGAAGAGTCTGCGAACAGCAGGTCCTAATGGCAGGGCTTCCTCCTACGCAGTTCTTCAAAGAAAAAGTGTCCTTCCGGCCACATCTGAAGTTTTTTATCCAAAGTGATTTTCACAGTTTCACCATAAGCAGGTTATTTAGTTACCCTGTATCCTTTACTAAGCCACACTCGGATGATCCGTGTCTTCATACGTTCAATGGGAGGCGATGCTTTGCATTTTATGTGCAAAGGACTAAACCACTTCAATCATTGCATCGGCTTTTTGTCTTTTATGCGGATCAGATGAAAGGAAACCTGGTCTCAACACGCACAATTTCCTGGTGGGAGAACTTCAAGCATGACGACAGCTTATGAAGTAGCCCAAGTGACATCTGTCATTTCTCAACAATGTTTCGATATGGGACACTTGCAGGGCTGCTGCATGGTCTTCCATACGCACTTTTACTAAACAGAATGCTGTTGCGGTGGCATCTAGGTCAGGTGCAAACTTAGGGAAGGCATTTCTGTAGTCATTGTATGAGTAGATTCAAGCAGTACCAGTAGGAGGTAGGCCTTGGAGAGTCATCTGAGTGAAATATACATCTGCAGCCACTGAAAGAAAAGATGGTTATTTACCTGTAACTGTTCTTGGAGATGTGGGTGCAGACCTATATTCTGCAACCTGCCCTCTGTCATGTCTGAATCAGAGTCTCCAGTCTTGGATTCTGGTTGCAAAGAACTGAGGGGGGTCAGGGATGAGCGGCCCATATGTAGCTATGAGGAGAGGCTTTGGGGGCCAGAGGGCATGAGCACTGCCCCGATGGGTACTGCTAAGCAAACTTCTCTGGTTATGTGCACATGTGAGTGGAATATGCGTCTGCACCCACATTTCAAAGAGCGACAGTTACAGTACAGGTAAGTAACCATCTTCCTTCCAGGGTGTATGGGCCTTCTGGGGCATCTCAGGAAGTATTCACTTACCCCACTGGTCTTTTAAGTAGATGGATTTCCGTATGCAGCCTCCCTAGAAGGAATGTTTTATCTGCCCCTTCTCCAAATACTGTTCAGATATGCAAGGAGGCTGCATCCCTCTGGGATTTGCTGTGATGATGATGGTGAAAGAGCTGTCGAGGAGCGTTAGTGGGGAAGTTTTGTAGATGTTCTAATGAAGCCTTTCTTCCCAGGTTCTTCCGATGTGAACGGGCTGTTGCCCACTCCCAATGGTAATGGAGAGAACGGCAAGGTCACCGCCGACGTTGTGGATTTAACACTGGACAGTTCATCATCTGAGGAAGAGGAGGAGGAAGACGAGGAAGACGACGACGATGATGATGGACCCCAACCGAAACGACGCTGCTCTTACGAGAAAGGTTTAGTTTCTGCCTGCTGACTGCGGAAGTAGCTCTGAATCTCAGAATGGACAGACTTGAATACTCTGGTGCTTACTAAACTGGAGAGGAGGGGAATTTCTCCTTCGCCTCACTTCCCTTCCTCCCTGGTCTCCTTTTGACGTTCCTATTCCAAGTTAACCATTAAAACGAAAAATAAAACCATTGAGCTGCTTCTTGGTTGGAAAACTACCCCACTAAACAGCCTGACCCGAGCTCTGCCAGCTCAACCTGACCCGGAGTCCGAAGTAAGGAAAGTGTCTTAAGCCAGGCAGCCAGGATCCAGAGCTAACTGACCTCGGGTGCCATTCAACATTACAGTGTGAATCGCTGGAGTTCCCCTGAAAACCTACAGGATGGCTAACTCCAGTGCATCTCCAAAGCTGTGTGCATTTTTATTGTCTTGTTAAATAACCATTCCTGATTATCTAAAGTTTTGCTGGACATGTGAATGGGCGGGTTAGGGTGGGAAAGAGAGGGACTTGGGGTGGGGGGAGGAGGTTTATATATCCGAGCAAGGTTAGGGGGTTTTTTAGGGGTGGGGGAAGGAATGAAAGGAGAGACTTAAGATTGGAATCGCACTGTTCTAGTTAGGAGCTCCAGCAGCTCTGCACCTCATGTAAAGAGACACGTTTTGAATCCTTTTAATCTAATCTGAAGATAATGTAGAAATTGTGCGTAGTGAATCATTTTTAGTTGAGCAGAAGCCATGGGGAGGGCGGGAAGGGCTTGAACCACAAATCTGTTGTATTTTTGAAGTGCAATAACTTGGTGTTTTTGAAGACGCAAAGGGCTGTGCATTCCCTTTTGTAAAGAAGGCTTTGTCTTGGGAATCGGTGCCAGGGGCCTGCCGGACAGCTGCCGCCCATCAACTGGACATGTGGCATTGTGTAGGCGTGAGGTGGGGTGGAGGGGATGTATGGCCTTCAAGAAAATGCCAGGTGGGGAAATCTCAGTTTCTAGTCAACTACCTCGGTAACTCCAATTCAGGTTTATTTCAGTCATGAAACAGTGCAAAGCCCATCACTGGTACTGCTGACCGCATTAATGTCATGGTGTTTGGAGACTTAGCCAAGGGCTAAGTGGAGCACGGCGACCACGTATTAATGGCCTCTGGACTTTTCCACTTCTGTTAAGACTTTGGTCCCAGACCCAAAGCGACTGCTAAGCTCTTAACAGCAAAACGTTGCTTTTGAGTTTCCAAATGGTAACCTTTTCCTTTGTCTTGTAAAGATTTTTTTGGTAACTAAATTGCCTACGCAGCTCTGCCTGTTCCTAGTTAAAAGCCTCTGAAGTCTGCATCGCTTTGGACCTTGCCGACTTTCTTGTCTGTGGAAGAGGATAAACTTTAGAAGGAAGTTGGCATGTTGACTTTGCCCCCTGAGCATATACAAGGGAAGGGTGGAACTCAAAGTAACTGCCCTTAGTAATGCAACGGACCACCCCACCAGCTGAGCAGAGATGCTCCAACCAAGGCCATGCGTGTAGCTTCCAGTCATGCTGTGTGTAGACTTCCCAGCTACTGGCAAAGGACATTCTCTCATTTCCAGCCCCACCACCCCGTCGGCTCGCGCTGTACTCTCTAACTATCCGTGAAAGTACAGACGCATGGGCAGCATGGACCCTATTTCATCTCCTAGAATTTCCTCTCCCCCTAAAGCTTGGGCCTGGAGGAAAGGAGGCAGCTACATTAAACCACAGAACCAAAGTGATGGTGCTTTCCAAAGCACTTCTGATGCATTTAAGAAAAAGTGATGCATGTAAAATACCCCATCAACTTAAAAGCCATCAAGTTCCACTAGAACTCTTTTTAAGTACCCTTTTAAGGACCTACTCTAAGGCCTGTAGGAAGAGAGCAGAATATTCTCCCATCGATGCTATTGAGCAGAAAGCTAGACCCTGGCTTTCGGAGCCTTCCCTCTCCAAATCCTCACTGAGACTCGTAGCCCGATGTACGGATAGAGCTTTCTCCAGCGAGGCATGCTGTCCCTTAGATTAGGCTGCTTCAAGAAATCCCAGGCCCAGCGGTGGTGGGTTATCGTGCTCTGCGTCCTCTGATGAGAGCGAGAGCTGATCACCTTGACCCGCACGGGCGTGTTTGAAGGGTAAGGCCCTTCCTGCAAATCTGTATTCGGCCCAGCAAACGGAAGTGGAGGCAGGTGGAAAATGTTTCTGCCTTTTCTCCCCTCCCTCCCCCCTAAACGAACATGTGCAAAGCTGACTGTGGCAGGGGCACGTCAGGCTGAGGGGGTGGCGGGGGGATTGTCAAGAAGCCTCTCTGGCGTTTCCGCAGCACCAGCCTGTGAAAACAACATGGCAAAGGAATTACCTACCCCCCCCCCCCAAGAGCAATTGAGGGGATGAGGGACGGGAGGGAAAGAGGCAACCCTGGAATCTCGTTCACTCTTCCGCCATTTTAGTTCCTTTCCCACAGAAAAACCTTTATTTGTATGGAAGACTTTTTTTTTTCTTTTCTTCTTTTTTTGCAAATAAGCAATATGTTTTCAGGTTGAAACCAATAAATAAATAAATAAAAACTTGGTAGAGCTCAAATTGTTTTACTGTATAAAGTTTTGCGGCTTGCATCCCCAGCCGCCCGGTAGTGTTAGAGTCCAGGGTGTTTTTTTCGACTATTTGTATCCTAATTTAATTGTTTTTAAATTTTCCAGGCCAAGCCACTGTTTGGAGACATCATGCTTCTGTTACTGCTTTCTGTTTGAGTTGGCCATCTCCTCCTGTACATATGTTTTTTTCTTATATCCTGTTTTTTTTTCTTTTTTTGTAAAGAAGAGGAAAAGAACAAAACAAAAAACAATTATTTTTCTTTCCCTCAGTACACATTCTTCAACGTTCAGAATTCTAGTGTTTGTTAAATAAAAAGAGAGATTTACATTTAATTCCCAGCTTGTCCTTTTCCATTGTGTACCTTGGGGTCTCCCTCTTCTGACTGAAGGCAGGTCTACACCACAGCTGTGCCATTGGAGTGCCATAATATGGACGCTGCCTATGTTGACGGAAGAGCGTTTTCCGTTGATGTTGTTAATCCACCTCTTTGAGAGTGAAAGAATTCTTCCGCTGACCTAACTGCGCCTCCACCACAGGTGAGGTCGACCTTCTGATGTCGCACCGAGCTAGACGTTTCTCCCAGCACTGAGCAACACAGCTAGGTCGAGCTAATTTTTAAGTGTAGAGCAGGCGGGAGAGATGGTGGATTCTTCATTGTGTGGGGTCAAGATTGGGAGCCCGATGCTTTGTTACCCAGCGTTGTCAATTACACCAGGGGGAAGTGGGCGTGAATGTTACTATGGTGACTTACTAGGACTTTTAAACTCAGTGAGAAGTACAGGGCAAGGGAGAATCTGGTGCTCCAGACGTCTAAAGTACAGTGGAGCCAGACCATCTCCGTAGGGCTTCATGCAGGAGTCACGGGATGGGATTCTCTGGCCAGTATCATGTAGGTGGCCAGGCTAGATGATCATAATGGTCATCCTGGCCCTTAATCTGTGACTCTCCAGTGGAAGATGGCAGAGCCAGGCGGGCTGAATGGAGAAGATATAACATTGCAGCTCTTATGCTGTAACTTTGAGTTAGTAACTCGTTAGTGACGTGGCTGACTCCAGATATGGTTTGTGGCAACAGATGGTTAATATTCATAACCGTAGTAGCTTACCACATGCAGCCTAAGCGGACACATGGGTGTCAAATTGGTCACAGCCTCCTTTTTGGCTGTGTGGAGGAGACTCCCTTTAACCAGTTTGCCTGCTTCTCCCTCCTAGTTCTCAGTGTGGCAGGCAGGGCGTCCTAGAATGCGCTGGTGGACTGCCACTCTGTGGGCACGTGTCCCCAGCTACTCTGTTCCCGGCCGAGGCACCGGGCGATAGCTGCCTAGATTTTCCCAGACTGTGCGGAGTTAAAGCTCAGCTGTTCAGAGGCGCTGGGGTGGACGAGATTAGTGGATGTATGGTTACCATGGAATAAGTTACTGTGTGGACACAATTCCATGCATGGGCCAGAAGAGCGTCACAGACTGGTTACTAAGCCATAGCTGTAATCTCAGTTTACATGGAGTCTTGGTCCATGGAAGCGTGTGCATCTCCTGCTCATAAATGGGGTGTGTGTACATCTGTTAAATTACAGCAATAAACCTCCCACATGTCCCCCACCGGAACTCTTGAATTCGTTAGGAATAAAGTGGCTGCTTTGTCCTGCATTTCGCATTCCTGCTTGTATCATTAACGGGGCTTCTGAGTGGGAAAGGCTGCTTTGAGCTTGCGTGGATCCTTTTACCGTTTCAATCTGGGACCAGCCCTTGTTCCTCTCTCCTATTCAAGGATGTTTTTGTATTGGAGGTCTTATGATCCATCCGCATTCACACTGAGCTCTGGCTCCATTCCCTGCAGATATGATCAAATCACCACTTAAAATAGGACACTGAACCAAACTAGGATTTCTACATTGACACGTTTAGTTAATATCCGCGCCAGAACAGAAGTGGTGTCCTCTTAGCATGGATAAGAAACAAAATGATAGGCAATCAGCAACCGCCTATCCTTGGGCGCAAACAAAAAGCACGTGGCAGCCAGAATTGTGGAAGGAATTACACAGGACCCAGGGAGGTTGGAGGTTTCCAAACCTTAACCAGCATGGTCCACTGAACTGGGACTTAGGAGAGCTGGGTGCTTTTCCTAGCTCTGCCACTGAACTGCTGTGACACCTTGGTCAAGTCACTTCCTTTCTCTGCCTCTTTCCCCTCCCACCCTTCGTCTGACTGGCCCACTTAGATTGTAAGCTCTTTGGAGCAGGGGGCCATTGTGTAAGTACAAGGCCGAGGGCTTTGGGACCTCTAGGTGTTACTGTAATTTAAATAACTCTCTTCTGTCCTGGAAGAGTTTTTTTTGCTACTCTAATCTTCAAAATGTGACTGAGGATCAGTGAGAGCTGGGCCCATGAGATCCACTAACAGGCAACCCAGCATGAGAACAACAGCACAGAGGTCTAAAGCAAAATACGCCAAGGACTGGACTTCCTGGAAGATGCGGCACTGCTTAATCCTGCTGCAGGTCTTGAATCCTGGCTTTGAAATGTCTGAGCGATTCCAACAAACTGATGGGCTGGAAATTGGCAAAGCGCTTGGAACGCTGGCCCATCCACCCGCAAACAGGGAGAGACCGCAGCCTCTGTTGGGCTGTTTCCCTGCAGATAACACAAGCTGTCTTAGCTGCTGCAAATAAGGGAGCCTTCCCACATAACAGTCAGATTCTGGTTTCTCCCAGCTTTCCCTGTCGCGATAGAGAGAGCATTCTGCCTTTCACTTGGCGAGGAACACAGTTATAGCACCATCGATCATGCCGCTTTAAAAACCTTCCCTAGAACGGGCATAAAACCTTCCCAAAGCCCTGATGCAAGCTTGAAAGTGCAAATTAGCACACAGAAACCTGGTAAGTTGCACAGAGGTTTTTAACATTCCTGTTTCGCCATAGGAGCACATGGATGCT